GGGGCCGGGACCTATGGCGACGTCTACAAGGTGCGCCGGGCAGCCGGACGGGCGGGAGAGAGGCGAGGAGGGTGCGCGCTCTGCGGCGGGATCCGGCCCCCAGCCCCGCCCCCTCCTCATCCCGCTTCACCCCCTCCGCTCCTGCAGGCTCGCGACACCGTCACGTCCGAACTGGCGGCGGTCAAGATAGTCAAGCTAGACCCAGGTGAGGGCCCGGGGCCAGGGCCTCAGAGCTAGAGGGAGGACGAAGCGTCGCGCGGCGCGGTGTGAGGGGCGGAGAGTTGACATTTCCGAGACCCCTTGAGAAGCAAGCCCCAGAAGTACTGTGGGCTGGCACCTACCTGTCTGGCCTGGAGAGAGGAGACACTCTGTGCCCATTTTGCAGATGAGGGCATTGAGTTAGGGCGACCCCTGTACGGCCTCCTTCATGATGTCCTATGTTTCCCAGGGGACGACATCAGCTCCCTCCAGCAGGAAATCACCATCCTGCGTGAGTGCCGCCACCCCAATGTGGTGGCCTACATTGGCAGCTACCTTAGGTGAGGCTGCTTTATCCCCTTGCCTGCCCCCAGGCAGCCCCCATGTGGCCCTGCCATGTGCCCACCCCAGCTCTGTGTCACCCCAGGAATGACCGCTTGTGGATCTGCATGGAGTTCTGCGGAGGGGGGTCCCTGCAGGAGATTTACCACGGTGAGGACTGGGATCCCAGGCCCCAGAGGGCCACAGCCTTCTTCTCATCCCGCACCCCAACACAGGGCAGGAAGGGAGACCTGAGGCCCTGGACTTGGGCCCCTCTTCACTCCTCAGTGGCTGTGTGACCTTGAGAGAAATGCTGTTCTTCTCTGGGCTCTATATCCCAGCCTATGTTGGGAGGGGATGTGGCCAACTGTCCTCTCACTTAGCAGTGCCTACTGCTTCCCCTACACAGGGTGAAGCCTGGGAGGGTCAGCATATCTCTCTGACCCCCAGGCCAGCCCTTAACCCTTTCCATTTCAGCCACTGGGCCCCTGGAGGAACGGCAGATTGCCTACGTCTGCCGAGAGGCACTGAAGGTAGCTGGTCCCATTAGGCCACTCACACCCCTAATCCCCAGGAGCAGGGCAGGGAGCCCAGTTGGCCAGTGTGTGTATGTTGGAGGGGGTGGAGGGTGGAGTTCCTCTGACAGAGCTGGCCTGAGGGGCTGTGGGTCCTGGGGGGAAGGGGCCCCAGCCCTGTTGCCGGAAGCAGCCCATTTCCCTCTTGGCTCAGTAACTTCCTGTTTGGGGAGAGGGGAGGAGGAAGCGGCTTGGGTGGGGGGCCCCAGTCCTCAGAGGGGGTTCAGGAGAGGTGGGATGGTGCTGGGTAGCTGCTCTCAGGGGCACCTCTTTGCCTCCAGGGGCTGCACCACTTGCATTCTCAGGGGAAGATCCACCGAGACATCAAGGTAGGGTTCTGGCCAAGAGCATTGTGGGAGGGAGGAGGAGGCTCTCGGGGGGCACCAGACGGGATTCTCTCTCCTCCATTCCCACAGGGAGCCAACCTTCTCCTCACCCTCCAGGGAGATGTCAAGCTGGGTCAGTACCCTGGGGACACAATCAGGGTGAGGGTTCTGTGGGAGCTGCTGGAGTCTTAGAGCCTGCATTCAGGGGCTCCTTGTCCTTGGGCAAGTCATTTCACCACTTGAGCCTCAGTTTCCCCATTTAGAAAGTGGAACAGTTCTCCCTTCCTGCTAGAAGTCAGATGTGGTTGGGTCTATGGAGTCTAACATGGGACCAGACACTGGGTCAGGGATAGACAGACGGTGGTTGACCCCTCCCAGGAGGGGACCTGGGTTTACCTTGTGCCTGTAGCAGTTGTAACTGAACCTGGGCCTCCTGCTGCCTGAGCCACGCCAGGTGCATCCTGAGCCTGAGCCCTGGAGGCTGGGGGGGAGTGGCAGCCAGAGGTTGGGTGAGAGCAGGTCTTTCTCCTTGCAGCTGACTTTGGGGTGTCAGGCGAGCTGACGGCATCTGTGGCTAAGAGGAGGTCTTTCATTGGGACTCCATACTGGTGAGGCTACACCTCTGGCTAATGGGGTGGGGGCCGCAGTAGGGCACCTGGTCATCTCATCTGTGACCCCACCTCTAGGATGGCCCCAGAGGTGGCTGCTGTGGAGCGCAAAGGTGGCTACAACGAGCTATGTGATGTCTGGGCCCTGGGCATCACCGCCATCGAGTTGGGCGAGCTGCAGCCTCCTCTCTTCCACCTGCACCCCATGAGGTCAGCTGAACACTTGCCCCTGTCCTGACCCCGAGAGCTCTGCTGACTCTTGCCTGATCCCTGACCTTGTGGTCTCCACAGGGCCTTGATGCTCATGTCAAAGAGCAGCTTCCAGCCGCCGAAGCTGAGAGACAAGACTCGCTGGTGAGGGTCCACACCGTATCCCCTGCTGGGGCCCCCTTTTTAGCCAAGCTCCCTAGGGGCGGAGGAGCCTCCTGCCAACTCCCAGGGTGCAGCCTCAAGGGCCCTGTCCTCCCTGGGCCTCCACAGACCATCTGTGGGAGGGGCCTGGGCTGGTGACCCGGTGTGAACAGGGAAGAGGGGCAGATGGTTAATGATGGAGGTGCTGCCATGTCGCAACAGCAGTGTTGCTCAGGCCAGCTGCACTTGGCCTTAGGCTAGCTTCTTCCTGGGCGGGCCCAGCAGACTCATCTGGAGTGGTGGCAGGGGGCAGCTGGCAGGATGCCCTGCCCACGGGCTAACCTGAGCCTGGGGGCGGGGCTCTTATGCCCACTAGGACCCAGAATTTCCATCACTTCCTCAAGCTTGCCTTGACCAAGAACCCCAAGAAGAGGCCAACAGCAGAGAAGCTTCTGCAGGTGGGAGGCAGGGGATGGGGCAGGGGGCTCGATGCACAAAAGCAGGGACCTGGAGGCCAGGGACCAACCTGTACCCCTCTCCATCCTCCAGCACCCCTTCACTACCCAGCAGCTCCCTCGGGCTCTCCTCACACAGCTGTTGGACAAGGCCAATGACACCCACCTGGGAACCCCCTCCCCGGAAGACTGTGACCTGGAGGTAAGAGAGGGCAGTTGGGGACTGGGTCTTGGCCTGGCGTGGTTGTAAGGAGTGCAACGGTGATGTAGGTCCCTTTAACTTGTGAATTTCCAGCACAGGGTGCTCGGTTGAGCCCACCCACTAGCAATCTTCCCTGGGTGGGTTTGCCTCCTTACAGCCCCACTGTGACAGGTTCCTGCCCTTGGCACAGCATGACCGTGACATTAGCTAAGCTGTCTTCTACTTTCTCTGTGATCTTTGGCAAGTTACTTGCCTCTCTGTGCTGGTTTTCTCATCTGTGAAATGAGGGTGTCATTTAATCTGTCAAACTAATCTCAGAGCATTGTTGTGAAAATAGACGTATCAGTGTGTGTAAAGCACCTCAAGGAATATCTGGTGTGAGGCGCACGCCGGGCGTGTGTCCACCGTCTGTGTTCTCTTGTAGACTTATGACATGTTCCCCGACACCATTCACTCCCGGGGGCAGCACGGCCCAGCTGAGAGGACACCCTCAGAGATCCAATGTGAGTCTTCTGGTGGGG